TGTAAAACCAGGAAGGTTTGCTGGGCTGGTAACAGCAGGGTGTGTTTCTTGACCCCAGGAATCCTGGACTCTCTCAGTGGTCTTTGCTTCAGTGTTAAATGGGTGCTTTCGCCCTTACTGGACTCCAGTCCAACCCTCCACCTGAGTGTTAATGTGTACATAAGCCTTTTTATGGGATCCAGAGCACATATAGAACTGATATCAGAGGGATGTGGAATCTTCCTGGGACTTCTGTCATGGWAGAAGAGCCTTTTTGTCAGTCCCAGAGATCCCTGCCGCATTCCAGATTCATGAAAGATGGAAGCCAGTGCAAACATGTCTGGTGTCAGATCTGTGTGTTGTTCAGCTGTGAGTGTGCTGCAAACACCATGCTGTGCTACCTTGCTGCAGCCTGGCCTCCCTCCCAAACACTGATTGTAGCTCACTCAGGTGAAAACACTGAGAATGCAGGTAGGGACAGGAGCTGGCAGGGTCCTGGGGCTCAGAGGTTCAGTCTCAGGGCTCCCTCCCCTCCCCTGCCCTGTCCCAGGACATGTGGCTGTGCAGTCCCTCGGAGCTCTCGTGTCCCTCCCCAGTCCTGGTGACACTCTCAGAGAGTCCCACACGTGGCTTCACCAGTGTGAGTTGAGCTTTGGGCAGAGCAAGGCTGGGGATGAGTCTTCCTATCCTGAGGGAAGAGGAGAAGAGTGGGAAAAATATCTGCCAGAAAAGACATCGAGACCTCGCAGCCCATTTCACTTTTAGGTGATCTTGTCTTATTCCCACAGCTGACGTCTCTGCAGTAGCAGAAGATATATTTGATTTGCAGCATAGCTTCCATGTTCTGTGCASTCTCCTTTTCTTTTTCACACTCCCCCCACCCTCTCAGGACGTGTTTCAAGACCCATTCCACTCTCCTGTTTGCATCTCACTGCCCTTCAGTAAACCAGAAGMGGCTCAAGGAAATGACCACCCACTGAACACCTTTGTGTGCCAACCAGGGTGGGACAACTGGTCATGACCTAGGCTGTGCCATCTCTGTCAGTCCCACACTGACCTGTGTCGAGGGGTAAATCATGCTCAGGAGTTGCTTGGTSCAGGCCAGACAAGTGCCAACAAACCAAAGCCCTGCAGCCACAGCCATGGCTGTTAGTGAGGCACTCGTGGCACTCACCAGAGTTGGGATGGGCTGCATTCCCACCTGCAAGGCTGAGTGCACAGGGCTTGCCACCTGATTGCTTTGCAGTCTGTCAAAATTTTTGTTGTCACTCTACTGATYGGAAAACTTTCAAAACTTGGTAGTGCCCCTGGTGTGTTTGATGCTGTACAAAGTTGAAGGAAGCWGGACTCCCTCTCCCTGGTGTCACAGCTATCCCTTCCCTTCTGATTTTAGCAATGTGAGTGCCAGTATTCCTCCTCTSCCTTTGCAGTTTAGGCTGAGAAGATGATAAGTGTGCCGTTCTTGACAATTGAGGAGGATCACCAGCACTTTTGCTGCAGAGCTACAGAGGGGAGACTGAGGCATGGGGTTGAAGGTGCCTAAAGATGTCCTCAAAGTCATGGAGTGACCCACTGAGGGATTACCCCACCTGGGCTCTGTGATTCTCAACTSAACCCATTCACAGGCTGCCAACACAACCCTTCATTGCAAAGCAAACCAGGGGAGCAGACGATGCCTCCTGTGCTGCCCTGCAGTGCCTCTGGCTGGTCTCGCTGCCCTCCTTTGCTGTTGCTCCTGTGGCTGTTGGCAGTGCCAGCACATGCCCTGGCCAGCCTGGGCTGGCTCCTTTAAGGCAGGCACGCCAGGGATTGTGTGCAGTGCCAGCTTCCCTGTGAACGCCTCTCCGCTTCCCCCTTGGAAACTTTCCTGCCCAATTGTTATGTGCGATCCGATCTGAAAGTTGCTCTCTAAGCTTCTTGTCACATTTTGACTTAATGAAGTGCAACTGGAGTGGGAATTGGGGTTCATCACGCCAGTCTCACTGCGCTCCCTTGTTGTCAGAAAACAGGGGCGGTTGGGGACCGTAATGCAACGCTGCAAGTCGTTATCATTCCGGTCAGTCTGTTTAACACAAAATTAAACAAAGAACTAATTAGTGCCTCATGAATTAATAAATGCGCAGTTGCCGGGTAGGAAGGGGAGGAAGGAAAAAAGGTTGGTGAAGGAAAGATACTGAAAAAGTCGAATTAGGATGTTGTGTCAAGGGGAAAAAAAAACCTGAGTCCACTTTGGTGAAGAGTTTGGATCCATTGGTTTTCTTGGAATAAACTCTCCTACTCGTCCTCCTGCATCCTGAATGTCTGCTCTGGAGCAGGATGAACTGCAGGCACGGGGAAGAGGCAGCGTTTCGGTGTCTTCAGGGGGCTGACAGGAAAGATGGGGACAAACTTTAGCAAGGCCTGTAGTGATTGGA